CTCGTTTCACTTCCCTTCTCGTATTCATGCATAAAAAAACGCGTGACTGATGATTAGGCTGGCGCACCTCCAACATGGCTGTTTTCAGACAGGTGTTTTTCGTGTTCCTCATTTTTGGAGCACTGTTGGCGGAACTTCACGCCACTGACGGCTCGATTTCAACTCCAGGTACGTTGTTGACATGTTGTGGCCCGATGTTGGGTTCGTTTTTCTCAGGTCTCATGTGTTTTCTACCACAACTTGTTAACACCAGGCACTAGGAGGTCGGGGGGGGGGGTCACATGATGGTAGGATCTACGGTCAACTGAACATGGGACTGGAGTTTCGCAACCGGTTTGTGTCGAAACAATACCTTAGATTTGGCGATTATTTTAGGTTAATTGCCATTAGTTGCCTTCCAAACAATTGCTATTGGCATTGTTGAATCACTATGTCACATTATGCCTTGAAGATATACATGGCGATATTGAATATGTAACGTTACTGAGTTGCTTTTGTGGAAAGTGAGAGCCCACACCACCTGTTGTTCCTCAGAATTTTTCAAATACCCAACTTTCAAGAGCTTGGAGGGAGGTTTGGTGAGCGTATGTGTACACTACGTTAGTATACAAAGTAAAACGGTGTGAAGCTACGGACAAGTGCTGATACAAAGGCCAGCCACATTGCAATATATAATGCAACAAGGATTAAGAGAACCAGAACAAACATTTACTTCCGGATATACAAAGGTCCCTTATGAACACTATGGGTAGGTTTAAAAAAGAATTCCACGTCCAATACACATATTAAAACATAACTCTCCGTGGGTACCTGTTACAAACGACACGATACAGCAGGAATCACGTGCGAACACGTACCAACCACTTACTGCTGTGTACATCAGACAAAGGCGAGGAAACTTGGGGTGGGGAATGCAAAATTCTCCCTATTAAATTGTTTTTTGCATGCCTTTTACTACCCCTGTTGAATGCATATGACTGAAATGTTTATTAATTTACACTCTTACATTTGGTAGAATATAGCAAAATCGATAAATCACATTTTCTTTTAAAATTGAAGAAATAAATTGTTGTATTGTTCGTATCCATAACAGTTTAGAGACCATTTTACGATTGTCCTGACATCCTAATAATGATTGCAGGACCAATGACGTCATCTCCATCTCTGTCAATCATGACCATGTCGTCACCATCACCATGGAAACTGACACCTACGTCACCGTCCCGGGCACCACTGCCTTCTCTCACACCCACACGGCTGCCGATGTTGTCAGAGCCGGCGAGCCAGCTTTCCAACCTAATGGTGTCCTCAATGACAACACCATCTGTGATGGCACCATCACCGACCGCCAACCTCAACTTGATATCACCAACCCCAACATCGTTCGTGATGACGACAACACCGGCCTTGACAACGTCAATCAAGGATATGTTGTCATCCCCATCAACATCAGTCTCCATGGCAACGGCGCCGATCCCGGCAAGCCCAAAGCTGATGCCGTCCTCAGTCGTCCGATCTCCATCATCCGAAGTGCCATTGTCTTCGACCACCCCAACTCCAACACTAGGCTGGTCATCAGCTGCATCACTGGTGATGTCATCAACGCCATTTTCGACACCTCCAAGCCTCATGACATCATCTGCAGCACCGTCCCGTGCAGATGTGATCTCGTCACCTTCATCAGCATCTGTGGCGAAGACATCAGCACCAGCGATGCTGATGACGCCATCGCCACTACCGATGACGTTGGCATCTGCTGCAACAACAACTGCTCAACCGCACGTGACACCAACATCAGTAAACATGAGTTCAATGTCACCATTGGCCACGCCCACACCCACACTCATCATTGGAACACCGAGTTTGAAATCGACCAATCAGCTCTCAGCTACCATCTCGATGCAACCCACCTGGATCCCGCCAATCACAGCTAACGTCACAACCATCACGACTGCCAGGAAGCCAGTGGATCCAGGACGAAGCTCGTCATCAACAGTTGGAATAGTGATAGGGGTGGTGGTAGTGTTGGGGCTACTGGCTATGGCTACTCTCCTGGTGATCAGGGTTATCAAGAAACGAAAGGGCGTGGCTGGGCGTGAAATGTCCTACCTATACCTACTGGAGAACCTGGAAGTTGAAGACGCGTCTACCACAATGTAGCAGTAGTAGAAGATGACTGGTGGATGTATTCACTCAGTCAACTAAATATTCAATTCACAAAATGAAACACAACATTTTGATTATTATAAATTCGATAAAATGTCACTTTCAAGACAGCCTATTTTTGGAAAAAGTTTTACAGGAAGTAAGGCTAATTACTTATTGTCGTGCATTTAAAGGCACAATCAAGTACATTTTGCATGTCTGTGTGAGTATGCTTTAAAAGATGATTATTGTATATTTTAACCATAAAGTCTAACTTATTTGTTTGATGGGTATATTTTAATTGAATGTCAATCGACTTAGATTGTTGCTGAAATTAAACCATTGTATTTCTGGAAAGTTGTGCCAATAAAAATGTAAGCAAGTTAAGTGTGGAGACATGACTGTACAAAAACAGTATTTGTGACCACTGGACAGTGTTACTACAGTGTGTGTAACTCAAAATGTGATATTGTTATGCTGTGGTAACACTTGAAGACTGTATTGTTTATTCCAATGATGATTTTTCTGTGCAAAAAAAAACTTGTATGAATATTCGTGCAATCCTAGCCTTGGGTCCATGTTGTGTTTCAATAATTGTGCATTTCAAGAGAAATTTTGTGTATATAAACCCACTGCTGTTTTCTGGCCATTTCTGACAAACACAATATATATGTAGGAAGTCAATGTATCGTGAATGCCTTTGTTTCTAACTTGATGGAATTCAAAGTTACAAATTCAACAAACTAAACATTTAAGTAATGCAATTATTATGTCAACTAACATTATACTACAATTAACATCAATCAATGAAATACCAATCACCTTTGTAGGTTGGTTTTTATTCCAACAATAAGATGTACCAAATGAGGAAAGCTGCTATACTGAATTCTAAACCATGCTATGCCTACTCTACACTTTCTAATAAAGAACACTTAGAATGGTATGGATTTCATGGTTGCTAACTGCATAACAGAGACGTTCGTAGCACTTTTTGCACAGGGGATAACTCCAAACACTGCTCTAAATCTGTGTTGACTTGTATTCCATCAGATTGTTTGGTGGTATGCACCACTAAAAGAATGTTTGACTTCTTTATGCATGTAAATGTTACATGTTGAAGTTCATTCCACTAAAGACTGCTTCCTAACTTTTTTTGGGGGGTGCAGGCTTTCCACATGAAAATGCAGTGTAGCGTAACTCGTGCAATTCTATGTAATAGCTTTACACCATTTTCCTCACAATCACATTCCGAATTAAATCTTTCTAAAGATAAGTCGATAACAACATAAGATTAGAGCCACCATTTTCTTCTCATCTGAAAGCCTTTTAAACACAACAAAAATGCAAATTGGCCAAGAAAGTTGTGAAAGAAACATCGGATACAAAGATAACGCAATCAAGTGTAACATTAAGAGTTATATATGGACATTGGAACTTAATACTCAAAATAAAAATTTGTAATAGATCTACAAAAAGTACACTTTCCCCATGGTAAGTCCTTTGAGTCTATGTACAAATGCAAGTTGTGAAAGTTGTGGTTTTCATGATATAAAACGTATAATGAGAACACTGCAATGATGTATAAGCAGCTGAGAGCTACGAAGTATTTTACAGTTATGGACAAGAGAAGAGTTGAGTAAAACTAACTGGCTAGACATAGAAGGGGGGCTAAACTGTTGGAAGAAATGTGAAATCTGCTGGTTTGCATAACGAACTTTTCGATTCTACTCCAAGTCTGGCAACTCTGAAAAAACATACAAGACAGCAATTATTAATATACAAATGCAAAAAAAAGTGGCATCATTGAAATGAACAAGAAGACATGGTATTGATGCCAGTATAAAATAAAGGTTAAGAAATAATTTTAATATAATTTCAATATCTTTATATTTCCTTACCTTCATCATCGCTATCCTTCTCATCCTGGATAGAAAAAAGACATTTTCAACTTTTTAAAATTTCAAAATGTTATATCTAAAAAGCAGCAAAATACAGTGCAACAAATGTTGCAAAGTGGAACAGTATAAAGATTTTTCAATTGAAATACTTAATTTTTTTGGTGAAAAAAATGTTACATAATGCCCCTTTAAAACCATAAGGAAATAATATGTTTCTTATATATTTGCTAGCTCATACTTACATCCAGATCATCCATGCTTGGTGCATCTCCGTCACCTAAACCTCCTCCACTCTCTCCCATCTGTGCCATTAACTGGGGGAAAAGGGAAAAAAAATTACGACTGAATTTCAAGCCAAACAAAACCTACACATTCATGACGGTTGCCAAATTCACAATACCTGATTGCTATTTGCTAATCAAATCATCTTAGCACACTGTAAATCACAATTTTTTTTGTGTACTTTTACTGGTATATTCACGGTTTTATTGACTTAGCTTTTTTGTAAGCTGATGGTGAACGGGCAGTTTTTGATGAGAAGTTACCTTTTCTAAGTTGGCATCTCTCTGCTGGTCTTCATCGTCTGAGTCATCCTCGTCTTTCCAGTAGCTGAAGTCTGTCCGCAGCCAGTGGAGCTGCAAACAAACAGATTTTATCTTCAGTTTCAACCAATAAAACTGCAGACAGTGGAGCTGGGATGGTTATTACCACAGATTTTAGTTTCAACAAATATGTGGCATCGTGTAGTGTAATGGCCAGACTGTCCCAGGGTTTGATTCCGACATGCTCAAAGGTACTTTACACGACTTCCCTCCTGGGCCTTTCGGCTAATCGTTGATATTGTGTTCAACACTGATGAGGACACAGACAGATTTGGCGTCACCAATGTGCCAAGATTTGCCACTGAGAACCAAATTATTTTTTTCAAACAATAAAACTGTCAATCAATGAAACAGCCCCTAAGCAACTGCTCCCAAGGGAGCAAAGTAGTGTTTTTGTCATTTGTATGTCTGTGTTTCTGCAATTCCCAATATCGACAATGCAGCATATGATTGCCATACATCCTCAGTGCTGTCTATGGTACTGAAAGGATTGCAATGCAGTATGTGTAAGGGAGTGAGGTCTACATGTACCATCTGATTATTTTTCTTTTCTTATGGATGTTTCTAGGACTTAACAGGGACATTATGTCAAAGCAAAATCAACTATTGTGAACAAACATGTAATTCACAGTAATGACACACTATGCTGCTGCAATGTACTTTTTCTGTAACATACTAACTTGCCACTAAGTACTGTAGAACTGTGAATAATGCATTTTTAAGTTCCTAATGAGTAAAGAGATGTTCTACAGAACAACAAATGATGATACCAACCTTCACTTTGTCCTCTGTTAGTCTAGTCCAATACGGCCCTTTTTCTTTCTTCTTGATGAGAAATTTCAGCCCTCTTGCTGTTGCATTGTATTTAGAGTCCTACAAGTTGGAGGAAATACATTCATCGACAAGAAAACTAGAACAGATCATTAAATATTTCTCTAATATGAACATATCTTGTCATCAATGTGTCCCAACTGAACTAATTGTTAACAACAAAATTGTCCTTTAACGTAACCATGGTATCATATGAAAACATGAAATTTGATCTTACCTCTACATTAACTTCCTTAAAGAATTTAATGTCACAGTGATAGTCCTTGTTTTCCGCTCCTCCTTTTCCACTGGAAAAAAAATCCACACATCTTAACATCGCATCTACACAATGAACTGTAATAAAATACATATATAGTTCGGCAAATACATCCATTTTTCATAGACCGCAAACTTTTGATACCGCTAAGATAAAGTGATTTCAGGGGTCGAAATAACCCTCTGTGTGCAACTTGGTGCAAGTAAATTTGGTGTCGTGCAACTAATTTTTTGCCTGCTTGCACCATGGTGCAAGTTTGCTTTATCCACTGTTACTACCTGTAGAATTACCCAATAATATTAATTAATAAAGAACTGGAGTGGAAAGGAACAAAACCAGAATCCATGAAGTTTTTCTTCATTTTTTGTAAGTAACAGAAGGTTACTATCTACGTTGCTGCCAGCGGATGTTTCCCATCACTTCTGTATTTTTGGAGGGTGCAACTCTTTTTCTTCCGGTGCAAGTATTTTTCTTTTCATTTGCACCAGTGCAAGTTGGCCCCAAAATCTATTTCGACCCCTGGATTTACAGTACCCGATAACGTGGAAATTTCACTTTGCACAAAAAGAATGGGGGCACAGCAATTTACCCATACCAACAAGAATATTTAGATTGGATAGTGATTATCATTTAGACAAAGAAACAATTTGACCAATCAGGGAAAGTGTACCTGAAAGAAAGGCTTTTCTCGTTGAGCGTGACCTTCCTGTTTTTGTCGCGGTCAATGTCTTCTACCTGTATGGTGAGGATGAGGACGTCATCGCGTTGGGCCCAGTACACCGCAGGAGCAACAGGTCTGTACAAACACAGGAAAAACATTTGTGTTAGGCCTAGAGGGAAAAAAATGTGTTTCCTGTTTCCCTATAGCTACCAACCCTAGCCTTTTTGTATGGACCTGTACAAGGGACATATTATCACATAAATTTTTCTAGCTGATCGACCTTTTTTAGCTCCAATGACCATGATCTGACACCTGAGTGATGAAACACCAAAGCCAAGCCATCATAATATATCAGATGTTGTATTCACCTAATAGAAAGCATTTTAGCGATTTGCGATCACAAACCTTCCACATCAAGTATGAAAAAATCTTATAGAATCTTACAGTATACAACAATACCGAATACAGATTTAAGAGAGCCAAAAACATACTAGTATAGGCTTATTATAATGTCTTGAGTCCACATTTTGAAATCTTGTATTGCTGCTTCCTTTGGGAAACAATTAGACTGGATTGGTTTGCAATCATAATGATAATGGTGCTGATTGAGTTGCATGAGACTCACTCAGGTCTGTGTTCCTTCTAATCCCTAGTAATGAGCTTATCAAAGAAGGTCTGCAAATTTTCCCACCATTACCCATCGTACGAGTACTAGAAGTGGGTAATCCTTCAGATTTTTGGATCCATCCCAAAATTTTGCTCCTTTTTCACAGATCAAAGGCTGCTTAAACTAAAAAAAAATCTATTAAAGATTTTTGTTCGAAGTTCAACTTTGAAATATTTGTGAATTGGAAAAAAAAATGACATTTAAGAATTGTCAAACCTGGACTTGTAACATACCACTATATTGATTATGACATTTAAAACATGTTCAAGTTACATGTCTCTTCATCAACAGATATGAGAACGATAAAGACATTTAAATGTTACTCTGAGGCAGTGAAGTAGTAAATCACCCTATATATTTTGTTGATCACAAAATCACCAAAAAATGTTACAATTTTCATTCCCATTATCAACATCTAATAGCTAACAAACACAAGCACAGGTGAGACAACTGCATTACATCATGGATTAACAAAAGACCGAGCACGTAGGATCGTAAAATCATATCTTCAACACAAAGGCATGGGAGGGGGGCGCACTAAAACTTGGGGAGGGGGGCAGTAGACATGCTTTCATCTAAAAATCATATCACAGTGTACTCTCTTTGACACATCGTAGCGGTACAAACCAAAAGCAATATTTCGTTCCCTTTTCAGTGAAAATCTAAGGAATAGCAGGAATGGTAGAATATACATGACAGGATGACCTGAGCGCGAACATGAGGAAATTTGGTGGTGGTCCTCCCACATGCACGCCATGCCATAGCGTCTCCCGCACTAAACTGCCATTTCCTGCTTATCCCTACCGCCAATTTAGCAAACAAAATAACAGCTCGGTACCCAACGATTTTCTCTAACGACCTGTAGTCAAGTTTCGGTATGCAAAGCATGAACTGTCGACAGGAACGAGGGAAACTGAAAATTAATTTTTTTGAATACTCACTTGTCAGCCATCTTACAAATCCCGGCGCTACGAATGCTGGGAAATTTTAGGGTCACACACTATCTGGAAAGTTCCAGGCTCAAAGAACAATGTTGGATGCACAAAAATGAAAGAAAAAAGTTGGTAGAATATAATATCTTATTTCCAGAAACATCCCTCTGATGTGTGAATATAATGTTATATCATAAATCCATCTAATCGTTTCTACCCTAGCCTGCTTTTTCTTCAAGGAAACGCAATATCCAGCAATTCCGTTAACTATCGCAGTGTGGCGCTCTTGTATGGTGAAGGATCCAAGTTCATTGCAAAGATACATTATAACCTCTCTGAATACACAAATAAGTGTGAAAACATCCGGAACGTTGCACTTTAAATGTGGCACTTTCAGCTTTTGGAGTTTTTGGAAGTGCGATTTGTTTTTTTAGTGGACCAGGACCAGTATATATTTTGCAGCATTTACGGGCAATTTATATCTAACACTCTGACACGAGCCTGCAATAACATGTGCTTCCGCCCGTTTCGCCATGTGAGCACATGATACCAATCCGTGTTTCTATGCCGTCTGTCTTTCTTTAGTCAACCCCATCTCTTACCCACAAAAATGCCACACTAAGATAAGATGGTGGCGATCACAGCAAGAACGAAAATCAACGTAAAATACTCAACGAAAGAAATACAAAATGACTTACTGGTCGTCCTGAATGATTTCGCCTTCTTTCCCCATAGTCTTGCACGTGCTCGCTGTCAAGTCTCTACTATATCCCTAAAAACGGAGGCGCGGGTTAATTTATTTGGCAAGGACGCGACACTTTGCTCAGACTGGTCTATAACAATGAAACGAGGCCCGTTTTGATGTAGTATGGCGTTGTGTTTCCGCTAATAAGTTCTAGTACATTCTACAGAGACAAGCTAGGGTTCCCTGGATACAGGACTCATTTACGTAACCCCTCCCCCTGACTCCTTATATGGAAAATTCTGCGGAGCATCAGCCCATCGTAGCTGCTATGGAAACCTCTCCAACCGAGGAGCTATAGAGAGAGCCAATGTGATGTTTTCATACATTTTACACACTTGTTTGGTGGAAGAACCCATCTATATACTTTGTGTACTTGTGATGAGTACAGTGCATCTCGTTAGGACACTTTCAATGGAATATTTGAATGCACCTGTCGCTGTCCCATCACCATTGCTTGTCCCGTTCCAACCCGCAGCATACTGATAGCATGGAGGTACCTCCATGCTGATAGCTAGTAGTAGAATTTCAGCAGCAGTCAACAAGGCACAACGTAAAAGTAGACCAAAACTACAGTATATTTCATGGCATGGAACTTTGTTATTCGTCTAAGCTGGTGTGTTACGCCGAAAGGCGGTTATACCGGCTATACAGATACAGATACAGATAAGAGCAAGAAAATGATACTACAGTTAGTAACGTTAGTTTGCTAGCTACTAACGTTATTTGCACTATACAGACAACACGTTACCTCAAATCAGAATAGAGCTTAGCCTTTATCAAGGATAAAAATGTACCGTCTTCGTAAAGTTTCTGCCATTTGTCTGTATCAGCTCGTCAGCAAATTATGGATATGACAAGATTTGACACACTGATGGGAGCTCTGCAGTACATATACAAGTCGCTAGATAGCGCACCTGAGCGGGACAAGGGAGGAGGAAGGGTTACCCTAGGTCAACCTTTGTGATGCATGACGGGATTAATTTTCAAAATGGCGCCTCGACTTTTTACTTTTTGAACGTCGCTCTGTGGACTTTCGACAAATATTTCCCGAAGAAAGAAGTGCCTGTAGTGAAAACCTCCCAAGACAGCACCGTAAGACGTCTCATGGTAGGCAGAACCGACCATGCCACAATTCAAAGACGCCTTCATGGTAAGAATCGTCCATGAATTATTGCATATGGCACTAGAATTTGTCGTCTGCAAAACTTTCTGTCAGCAAACAGTTACGACATACTTTTATGGACGTGTCTACTGTGTCAACATATCCAGATACCATGCTCATGTTCTTGTGTTTAAAAATCTCCTAATGGGGACTAGGATTATTAGTTTTTGCCACTCAGGAGCTCAAAATTATGGAAAATTATAGATACAGGTGTATGGGGGAAATTTGGTCTTTTATGTCAATAAAATTTATGCCAAGGTGCATTTGCAGATAGCGGTGAAAAACTTCGTAGTTATCAAAGCGAAATTAAGGGAACAAAACATTAGGCAAACTGCAAATACTGTCTGTCCCAACATTTTGTTCTTTTATGGCGAAATACTATAAAAATTCTTTTATGACTAATGTCTTTCGATTGTCACACTGCATAGAAACGGCATATTGGCACAACGTCACATGATTCGCTTTGTTTGCTTTTTCAAACAAAGCTAATAAAGGAAACAAGAGTAAAACGACGAGACTTTAAACTAGGTAGCAATTTCTTGAAACAATTTTAATACTGTAGTGTTTTAGCACGATAGTATTAAAGTTCCCGTGTGTGCTATTGGATTACATTTGTAATGTGCCAGATGTACATTTCCCCATGAGTATAATCAATGTTTTGATACGAATAAACTCATGTCATTTCAGTAGCCTATTATTAGTATTAATCTATCAATATACAGTAGCAGTATACATGACTGATATATTTGTTTCCATGAACAGTCTATATTCAAAATACAAAAAATATACTTCATCATATCTTTATCTACATATTCCTATGGCATTATCTGATGCAAAATGACTGCAAATATCTGTATGTTTCTGAATATTAAGGGTAACACCCTTAAGAGGTACCCAGCCCATCAACTAAGGCCTGCATATTACAACCACACCCTCTGCCATAATTCATAATCATATCACAATACAGCCCTGGGTGTGGCCCTAGAATCATATGTTCATATGTTTTATAAATATAATAGCTGATCAGATTAGTAAGATTATTGGTATTGTGAAGTACTGAATTATCCATTTATTATTTTGTATCATTTTCTCCCAAACAATTATCTATTGTTCAGATCTTTTCTATTTTATGTATAGATAAATAATAATCTATTTTTAACATTTCATATCTGTGTGATTCAGTGCCCTGCAAATACATCAATTGTCTGCATAATGTTCTCCCTTCTGTCCTGTAGCCAGTGTAGGCTGTACAATTATAGCTTTTAGCCAGTTAGATTGGCTTTTAGAAAGCTTTTAGGCATTATTACTTGCATCCCAGGGACCATTTGGATAAACCATGCTATTACAAAACAAATACAGCCTTGGCACTCAGTATTCAGTTTGATCAGTGAGGGGTTATAACACTAAATATGTCAATCATTTGGCAACTAATAATATATATACATTATAATCATAATACTTTTCTCTATACATGTACCCACTAGCAGTATTAAGCATAAGTATGCCAAAAAATAAATAAACACAGCAATAATTTTAATGTCACAGGTGGGTACATTTAAGAAAAGATCATTGTGAAAATTGAAAAATTTTTTCTCGTTTTCCTTAATTTTTTGTTAAGGGTGGAGGTTGCAATTTTGGGTCCAAAGACCACTGAACAGTAGTAAAGCCCCACTAATTTGACCTCTGTGTATTTGACCCTTTTTAACAGCTGTTTGCTAAAGCGAATCCTATTGTTCTATGAATAATTACGTGCACAGCATGTTGTGACATGCTTTAATAATAGTCTTACGTAGAAGGTACTGTCCAACCAGCTGTTTTTTCCCACGACCTCTAGGCTATAGTCTACCTTTTGTTCCAAAGGTCATATGCAGCATAAATCCGATGTGCACTCAACTGTACATGGTGAGGTAACCATGGTACAAAATGCCATTAGTAAGCAAGCAAACAAAAATTCATTTACATTGCCTACCCAAAGCCTTATACATAGACATGACTTAGTGTACTGTTCTTTGACAGAGAATTCAATGGCACAAAAAAAGGAGCAAATTTATTTGTTGCACACCTTACTACACTCACTCACTCACTGTCCGGTTTATCGTCTGTTGTTTCCCGTCTTCCGAGGGTTAGACGTGCTTGCACAATACATCTGGGGCTTGATGGCAGCTCGCCACTTGTCTCTGTCTTGTGGGTTGATCTTATCTAAGTTCAGGTGGTGGAGGTCCTCTAGTATATTATAAGATGAAATGGAAAGTACCAAACAGAAGTCATAGAGAAACCAACTTATGAAGTAGTCTGTTTTCATATTTTATATATTCATAATATAGTTACCTTGATTTTGCCAGCAGATTAAGATTATCAGTAGCTACCCAGAAAAGTTTGTGTACATTTTATTGATCACTCTCTAGACTCTTATTAGATTGTAATCCTTTTGTCAATATATCATACAGGCCACAGGCAGGCTTCAAGTTGTACTTTGAACTCTGTCTGAAGTGTATAATGTACATATGTATATACCTGGAGCAACTTGTTGATAATATACTCACTGCTGTTGTATTTAGGGAACATACAATAAGGCTCAGTCAATATATAAGTCATAGAGGCCTGTCATAGGTTTTCTGGGCCTTTATTATTGTGTTATGTAAATCTATGATCATGTCATTCTATTCCAGGGCCATTTTGGCTATGATGAACTGAAGAGACACATGAGACAAGCCAAGGAGTTCTGCAATGAGATAGGAGCAGTGCTGCATGAAAGGTTAGTCCTAAACACTTGTACCTAAACCTGTCTAAGATGACCACCCAGGGAACCAAGGGTGGCCTTCTTAGACAAGTGGTCTTCTTATACAAAACATTGTGACAAGACAAGACAGAGAACATTCTAGAAAACAGTAGCAAAACTTTCACCCATTTTAAAATAGTGTATCAAAAATAACATACACAATTTATACAATCATCAGGACATTTTTGCTGCATGTATCTTTCTGTGCAATTTTTGTAGACTCAATAATCATAAGTCCAAATAATGAGAGATTTAGAATAAATTATATTATTCACTTCAAATTGAAAATACAAATAATCATTCATTTTCTTCTGATGTAATGTTGAATAACACTGCCATCTTCTTTATTTCTTTCCTCCTTGGTACATAGGGCTGAGTTGGAACAGGCGTATGCCAAAGGCTTGAGTAAGCTGTCCACCAAACTTGCCAAGGCAGTCAACACCACAGGCGGGTAAGTTACAAGAGATAAGCTCCCATCTCCTCCTGCCTGGTATAGAATATCACAGGCAGGAAGTGCTTACGTGAGCTTGGTGCTTAAAACTGGCCAGCAGGTTTGAAGCCAAGGATGATTTTAAGTCTTCTTCTTCTTCCCTTTTCGTGCAAACCTCAATTGGTTGAGGGCTCCAGCACGGTGGGGGTGGGGGTATTGGATGGGGTGGTCGCTTGTACAAGTTTTGTGTGTGTAAGTTGTTAGGAAATGGCAGTGTGCACCCTATGAAGTCTCTAACTTCTAGATATATTGATTAAATATAGCTGTTTCAATGCCTGCAATGTTATCATGTATACGTAATATACAATTACAGAAAGTTTTGCATAGTAATAGAATAAATTAGTTAATCACATATTAGGTAGATATACGTTGCATTTTTTGCACCAGTCTGCATCAAATGATATCAATGTCATTTTTGTGACTGTATATAATTCTTGTTTAGCAAAGTTCAACTCAAACAAGTTTAATTTTGACAGAACTCTGATGACAACATGGACGTGTGTGGCCACAGAAATGGAGCTGGAGGCAGAGATGCACAGGTCGGTTACAAACTCTTGAAACAGTGTTTTGACTTCTAGAAAAAAACACATCAGGGCTCGTTTGTTTCCCAATGTTCATACCTACCTGTAGTGTTTTACATGACATTTAATAACATGTTTGTCTAATTGCAGAAATCTGTCATCAGCCCTAAACGAGGATGCCTGGAAACCCCTGAAAAGTTTCATAGAAGCCCAGTCAAAAACTAGAAAACCTGTGAGTTAAAACAGTATGATATAATGTATTACTGTTGCCATAAGTTTTGAGCTTGTAAAGATGACATATGATATCAACAATTTTGTCTAATGCCTTGCATTTTTATATTTTAATACTTCCTTGAAATTTGTATAAATTGTCTTATTGTTGATCTTTTATTTTAGAATTATATCTCCTGTGTGCAACTTTAGCCTGAAATGTTTTTCTGACTGTTGTATATGTATTGTTTTTTTAGATGGAAACAACTGTAGAAAAAGTCACCAAATCTTTGGGAGAGAGAATAGCAGAACAAAACAAGGTAATGGTATAACAGAACCCTACAAGTCAACCATGTGCTTACAGTGTTCATTCAATTGACTCTGAAAATGTTGTTACAGTGTACTTTGTTACTAATAGCTTTTTCTAATCATTTTCCTCTTCTTAGGTAGTCTTAAGGGATCATGGGATCTTCGGGACAACCGAAAAATTCTAAAATGTCTACTTATCTAAAGATACAATTCTTTCTAATGAAGCAAGAGGAATTTGATAACAAAGGGATATTTTGGCTCAAGAATGTCATTCAGTACCAGGGACAGGGATGGCAGTGTGAGTGTGAATGTCATTCAGTACCAGGGACAGGGACAGCAGTGTTAGTGTGAATGTCATTCAGTACCAGGGACAGGAATGGCAGTGTTAGTGTGAATGTCATTCAGTATTAGGAACAGGGATGCCAGTGTTAGTGTGGATGTCATTCAGTACAAGGAACAGGGATAGCAGTGTTAGTGTGAATGTCATTCAGTACCAGGGACAGGGATGCCAGTGTTAGTGTGAATGTCATTCAGTACCAGGGACAGGGATGGCAGTGTTAGTGTGAATGTCATTCAGGGACAGGGATGCCAGTGTTAGTGTGGATGTCATTCAGTACAAGGAACAGGGATAGCAGTGTTAGTGTGAATGTCATTCAGTACCAGGGACAGGGATGCCAGTGTTAGTGTGAATGTCATTCAGCACCAGGGACAGGGATGCCAGTGTTAGTGTGGATGTCATTCAGTACCAGGCACAGGGATGGTGGTGTTAGTGTGAATGTCATTCAGTACCAGGGACAGGGATGGCAGTGTTAGTGTGAATGTCATTCAGTACCAGGGACAGGGATGGCACCCTGCTGTGCCTTTCCCCATTCTTATTTCTGTTTCTCCTTGCTTCAGATGAAGGTGACGACATACCTCCATGCTCGTGAGATGGAGAGACTACAGGAACAGTTGGACGACGTCAACAGTGGCAAGGGGAGGGTCTTCTCAGAGAAAGAAATATCCAAGGTGAAAGAAATCAACAAACAGTTCTTTTTATGTCAATGTGTTCCTTATAGTACTGGCTGAGATGTCAATGTAGCCACTACCATCCTTGTTGCTGCCTGGCTACCACATGTCATGCCTTTCATCTTCAATAAAGTAAAGTGCAGTAAGTTCTAGCCAGCATCATTTGACAAAGTTTTTACATTGTCTACTGAAAAATCTTGAGATTTTTCGATTAGGAATCAAAAAAAGATTTTCATAGAAGCTATCCAAAAATCTCTTCTTTAGAAAAATTTCAAAATTGTTATGATATGGTTATTTTCCTTAACAGTTGCATAAAAAGAAGAAGAAGGCAGAAGACAACCAGCAGAAGAGTGAGACGGAGTATCTGGACCTGGTGGTGAAGGCAGAACGTTCCCGTCACGACTGGGAGGCCTCGGCGTATAAGTGCTGTGCTCTGATGCAGAACCTGGAGGAGGAGAGGATCAAGTTCATGCACGAACTTCTCAACAAGTACAACTCTTTCCTCTCAGATATCGGGCCCAAGATGGCACAGGTAAGGCATGCATGAACTCCTCAACAAGTATAACTCTTTTCTCTCAGACATTAGGTCCAAGATGGTACAGGTAAGGCAAAATGTCCATCTTGAAAGTTCATCTGGTAGTTACATGTTTAAAGTTAAAAGTTTTGTTCTAGTACAAAGAATTGTTCTCACCTAGAGCTTTCGACAATCTATCCCACTAGAATGTTTCAGCGAAATACATTAATGTTTAACAAACTATTTGATGATGAGATTATCTTGTGTACCTTACATCCCTTAAGCTAGCTAAAAGGAGGATACATTTGTGTGATACGGTAAGTCAGAGTTATGATATTATAATAATAGTCTCACATATTGCTTTACTGTAGGATACAGGTAATACAAATATACATTGTACATTAAATTCAGTTCTTGTTTTTTTTAGATGTGGTTACCGCATGAAGAGTAAATATTGTTGTTGTGTGTTTTTCCCCATGCAGAGTTGTAACAGACTGGGAGAGTCTGTGTTATGTGTGGACATCAGTGGTGACATTGCTCACATGATAGAACACTACAAGACTGTGGACTATGTACCTGAACAGTTACTGTACGACTGCTATGTAAGTACAAAATGCACTCAACTGTTATATCACATGTATCACAATTCAATAGACCAATACATGTAGATCATGAGACATATCATATTGGTTATTCAGTCAACTGATTCTGTTGAAAGTTTAAACTTCATTGTAGAATTGTCTAGCTTACCTATAAATGCTCATACAGTGTACCTGAGTGTCCATATTACAGATTTGAGGTGAAATACATGGTTTTCCTTTTGCCCATAGGAAGAGGACACCACCAACACAATAAACACAGACAGAAGAAAATCTGCCCTTCTCAGGAAGTTACACAGACTTGGCACCGAGATAGATCGGGAAAAAAAGTCAAGAGAAGGTGGATTTTTTTAGTCCGATTATACCACAGTGACTATAATTATACCTGATTAGTAGTCTTTTTCCTTTCTTATTTTGTGCCACATTGATTGAGTCTGTAATTGAATTTCACATGCATTTTAGTTTGATTTAGGCTTGCTTTCTGTTGCTGTACAAATTCTTTTTGGTTTGCTGTCTGTGTATAGAATCATTTCAATTTTTTCTTATTAATTCCTTCTCCTTTGAGGTACTACATGTAATCATGCTCCTCCTAAAAGGAAATTGTTCTTTGCCTTTTTCAGAGGTAAACCCTTTCTTTTATTAATATTGTACATAATTCTCTTTTGATTTAATTTTACTTCTACTTTACTCATATTTACTTCAGAATCTTCTTAGTTTGCTTTCCTAGTAGTATGTACAATTCTGACTGGGTATGTCAAGGCTCAAAATACTGGGTGCATATGCACCTCAATGCAGGTAAAATTGGAGCTGTGCAGATATTTCTGATGTCTACATGGAGCTAACCTGCACTGGCCCTTGTACAGGGTATGTGCACTGGTCCATGTACATGTACATGTATGTGGATTTTTATTTGCTGCATTGACTGTTACCACCAATGAAGTATAAGGTATTTGAATAGTTTTCAGTATGGTCCATACTTCTTTGAGTACTAATCTGAGTGGTGTGGGTAAAATTTGTCTGGTGCAGGTAATATTCAGTGTTACCTGCACCAGAAAAAAAAGTATCTAAAGCCCTGTATGTGAAGATGTTGTTTTCCCCCTCAGGTGTTCAGCACCTACACCAGGTGTACAGTGACAGACCAGGGTTTGCAGACTCCGAGGCCAAAGGAGAGGTCCATCAGCAGTTGTTACATGTAAGTACTACTACTACCTGAGTGTGTAGGCTAACATTTTTACACAAAAAATCTGATTCAGTAACTTGATTGGTTTTATCAAGTTATACTAGAAATTCTCGCAATCTAAAAAACAAAGCGACTAATTAACTGCAATTATTCTGTTAAAATTCCTTAAAATCTTGTTACAGCAATGTTCTCTTTTCTCTTGATACAGTTGAATGCCATGATAGACCTGCTCTCGGTCAGTCAGTACAAGCTGCAGTGCACACTTGCGCTGCTAGAGGGCCACAATAAACCAGAGCATCCCCTCAGCCAGTACATAGAACAACATAGGGACAAACAGGTGGGTGCTTCATGGAAGATAATACTGTAACATTAAACTATTCATTTTTTTCTTGGAGTTTCTTACCTTTTGAGTTGTGTTCCCCATCCTTAAGTGTTGCAACTACCGTTAATAATTATAATTTAAGGAAGGCTGTTCAAGAACTTTAAAAAGTTACAGGTGAATTATCATTTTGTGCAGGTATACGTTTAGATTTCTGTACTTTGAAATGAACAGGGAGGAAGAGTTTAAATTTCTCTACCACCTATTTCTGTGAAAATTCTTCACCCATGGAAGCAATTATACTTTGTGGATGTTATAGGAACTCTGCTCTTGCCTTAATTTCGCTTGGCAAATATACATTAACTAAACGTTTAGACCCTTTTATTTTCCTTTTTTGTTTTTGCTTTACAAACTTGTATTCCCCTGGCTTGCAGTATGTGGGGACTGCCAATGTACACCTGAAGCGACTTCGACGCCATTCTACAGGAAGCATGCTGCTACGGAGCGATAGCGTGTTATTTCAGGCATTAAACCTCCCTTATGTCTTTTCCAACAGCAATCTTTTCCTGTCCATCCTTTGCAGCTCTATGAAAGATACTGTAATTCACAATTTTTTGGGGTACTTTTATGTCTGCGGTTTTGTCAGTCACTTCTGTACCTTGAAGAAATAATTTTCTTTTTGCTGCAACTGCCATAACTGTGAGCATATAGTTTTGCGAACATGTCCGTTTTTCTCAGACCGCAAGCTGTAATGCTACCGCAAACATAAAGTGAATTACAGTATTGTCTTCTTTCTATTCTACAGTCAAACGCTATCACATGGTATTGTCATGAGTGAACAACATTGCTCTATACTGTTCACAAATGAATGATACCATTTGATAATCAACATTGCAGTGCTAAGTTGGTGTGAATGTAGATAGTTTGAAGTGTGCCGCAGTTTCTGTTTCTGCTTACACTGCTGTTTCGAACAAGGCTGAATGCATCACTCAATTTGGCTGTGCCATATATAGAAAATGTGGCATAAACATCATAGCAGCTTAGCTCTGCAATGGTAGACTTTCTTAATTAACAGTTTCCATTAATGTGAGGTGGCTTTGAGGGTCCAGGTTTTCCTTCCTGTTGAATTAAAAACTCAGAAAAATACAGATTGAAGTTGTGATGGCTTGTTTAGAGTTAAGCTTTTGTTCCAACACAAGAAATTGTTCTCACCTAGAGCTTTGACCCAGTCATTCTGGTCTTCTTCAATAGACCCAGTGAGACTTGTCATGTGGCTTAAATGGAGGCAGACATCGTTTGCCAGATACCTTTGACGTCACACTTCAGAGACAATGACAAGTCTCACTGTGTCAGTCTATTGAAGAAGACCAAAGTGACTGGTCGAAAGCTCTAGGTGAGAACATTGTCTTGTGTTGAAACAAAAGTTTTAACTTTAAACATGCAACTACCAACACAGATGAACTTTCATGACAAGTACAAATGTAGTGATGTCATCATCTCACAATACTAATAAGTGACATACAATCCAGTAACAAGGCACCTATGAGGTATAAAAAAAACACTACATATTGCTACAATTGATTATCATTCTTGTTTGTTTGTTTGTTTGTCTTGTAGGGGATTATGCACAGCACACTAAGGATCCCGACAGTTATCACCCTGGGAGCAACAGGTGGCCCCCCACAGTCCAGTGGACCTGCCCACAGACATGCCACATTAATGCCCCAGGGTAACTCTGTACCCATGAGGTCTGAACCAACCAGGATGGAGACTAACTCTGTAGACTCAACTTATGATGGCTACTCGGGTAAGGCCTAGAAAAAATGGTTTTCCAACTGACCTTAGCAAAAACTTGCAGACCCTAACCTTTTTTTTTTTATCAACCACTGGTAAGGCTATAGAATTTTCGATCTGGAATCTGAATTTCAAACCCTTTGAATCCTGAAACATCATTTAGTGCATGCATTTCTAGAAGCAATTTTTCCTCAGTAAATTGGGTGAAATTAATATTTGTCCACGAGCAAACAGGTGGAACTGGTACTTATTTGAGACATCTTTCCTATCTGCTGCCCTGAATTTGCATTGGATGCCGTTAGCTTTCAAATACTGGATCTTTTACTGTTAGTTTTTACATGGCATCTTCATGCCAATGTAACACAGTTTCTTCTGTTGCCTGAGAGGTTAAAGTGCTATACTGTGTATAAGCTTTTGACCTACTAAATATAGTGACTGTTTTGTTTTCTGTTCAGACACAGAGTTTGATGATGGTCCCCCTGAAGTGCTATGCCAGTGTAAAGCACAGTTTGCCTTCACCAGTAATGAGAAAGATGAGATATCCATACAACCAGGTCAGTAACACATCATTGTAGAGTATAAGCTTTCTTACAACAGTCAAGAAAGGATCCCTTGCCAAAGTGGTCTGCTATGCAGCATTACCCCCTGAAACATTCATCCTGCATTACAGCCAGTATAGTGCCTAATTTCACAGTAGATTATGACTGTCCAAGGCACCTCCCTCCACTGTCAACTCTGCAGTGCCTTGAACCAATTAGTTTGCCTTTCCCCTGCATTAATGCCCTCTGTCACAGTCTTCGGTTATGGTTGACCCTTACATTAGCACCAGGCTCAAGTAAGCACAATCCTCAACCATTTAGAACATCCTGTGTCAGCAACTGACGTCCCACCGCCTCTGAGCAGGCCTGACTAACCTAATTCAGTCTATAACCTGCCTGGCCTGAAACAGTCTGAAGTTTGTCCCCCTTTTACACAGGGTATATTTTCAGAATTTCTGTTGCAATTCCAACCTAAAAGAACATACATGAAGTTGCATTTAGGACTTCTTGTCATTATACTTCAACCACCAACACCGTACATGAACCACTATCCTCATACCAAATTTTAGGTCCTTTATTTGACCTAATATGAAGACACAGGAGCAAATAAGTTACAATATACTTTTTGGGACTATTTTTTTTTACAAAAAAGCTACATTGAATTATTTTAGGGCCTGCATCCAAAAAATTAAACCAAGAATACCTGTGGAAGTATATTCCCAAGCTCTGTTAAAATTTCGATACATTTGGTAAAAAAATGTGGTGCCTGGTAGCAAATGTCTAACAAGAAGTGGAGAGAGAGAACACAATGTAGGACCAAGACAGCTTAGAGCATTCTGCTCCCCCCATAGGTCACATGACCTCTGGGGGGAGCAGAATGTTCCCATACATGGTCACATGATAGATCAGACCATCCTTTGCAACTCCCCATAGCACATGTAGGAGGCTCTGTATGTATACAAATGCAGTCACTATCAGCCCAGACCAACAGGTCCTGGACCATTTGATTTAGTGGTTAAAAGACATTCAAAGAAAAGAAAAGACTCCTGTAGCTTGGTCAAAACAAGCCAAACTTGGAGATATGTATGATGCTGTGTTTCAGCTCAAAGAAAACAGATTATGTTTCACCTCCTAGAAGGCACATATGTTTTCAAAGAGCACAGGATTAATTTGGTGTGACCATCCCCACTGGCAAGCTGTCAGGCAGGCTGTCAGGGGTGGAGATCACATCAGGCAACAGCTTCTGCCCCACTCCAAAAGGCCAAGATGATTAATGATGATAAATAGTCATGGCATCAATCTAGCATTACTCCCAATGTTCAGTGGGAGCTAGTTTAATGCCGGGGTAACCCCAGAAGTGATCTGATAATGACCACGTAATGCGGCATTACAGCCGCACAACTGACCACTTTGGCAAGGGATCTTACCATGAATTATCCGTAAATCTCGTCGATCTTTGTCAGATGTATGATCCACTCGCTGACTCTCCAGAAGTTTGATGACATCAGGAGTGAATTAAAAGTGGCGGGAAGATGGAATCTACCACCATCATGGTCCAGAGAGGGTTGATGGGCCCTGATGTAATCTTCCTCCTTCACACCCCTCACAAATAAAATAGTCCTACTCAGTATCCACAATGTGCACTCTCTGCTAGCAGATTTGCAAAAATCTATACTAAAAACAGTTAGTAATACAGCAAACACAGAATGCGAATAAAAATCTAATTATAATATAACCTCCTCTAAGCATAATCTTATTTTCTAGACATTCTGGGAATTTCTCTGACCAGACAAATCTTTAATGTCTTTTCCTTTAAATGCCTGTGAAGAAATTGAAACGTTTTGATTCTGAATGCTACTACTGTGTATTTCCAGGAGACATCATTAATGTACATGAGAAGCTTGAAGACGGCTGGTGGTGTGGAGAGTTGAGAGGACACACTGGGTACTTCCCGGCTTCTTACGTAGAAGAACTTCCAACAAGGCACGCCAGCTCCTCAGAAGTCTGACTCACAACTTTTGCAACACTTGGCAACTGGTGTTGGATAACATAATGTTACAATTTTATAGTAGGATGGATTTATACTCCTGTATGATTTCTATGTACGGTTATGTTCACAGTTTTTTTTTTTTTACTGTCACTTCTGTAACATGAACTTGTCACTCTGTTACCATAAAGACAAAGTGAATTACAGTACTTCAGCATTTGGATTAAAGAACTGTTAGGAAACATGTATAGTCCCTTTTGTGCTACACTAAAACTAATGGTTAGAGTAGCTTCAATTTCTCGTAGTTTTTTTTTTTTTAAAGGACAGCTGCCAGTGTGATGACATGTACCTCATATCATTTATCGTAATTACAAAAATCAGTCTTCTCACCTTCTTCAAATACACGTTTTGTTATTGAATGAATTAACAATTAGATAAAGGAAAGAGATAAGACAAGGTGGCAAGAAAAAGAGCTAGCTGTAATATACCTACATGTATTTTATTTTACATTGTATGGATGGGTCAGTCTTTTGATCAGTTACTTTTAAATTCCAACATATCTGTATATACTGATTTATGAATTGTTTGCTTTGTGTACTGATATGTATTGTGATTTTTTAAAATTTGTGTGGAAACTAACTTAATTTGGGACAACGGGTGATTTTAGGTAATTTGCATGTTGTGTATAAGTCTTACTGCGTGCTTGTTTTGGGGTACTAATTGAGCAAAGTCAAGATATCATGGTAGTAGATGTCTTATACTGTGCAATTATGTATTATAATTCCAATGTTTGATGAAAGAAGTTTAAAAGGGATTATGTTTTCAGGTTTTTACCTTGATTTCCAATGGGCTTTGAGAATACCAACAGGAAAATTGTTATTAACCTTATTTTAGAGCCTCACTCTTTGTCTCTTGAATGTTTCCAAAGAGGCATTTACATGTATATCTGTAATACATGGGGTGTTGGAAATTTTATTTTGCATCTGACCTGAAACTGCCATTTCCTTCCTCAGTGGAACAATTTTGCTGCATTTAATAATTGTACATACTGAATCAAATATAATGTTACTAACTGTAACTGTGGAAATTTTCCAACCATTTTCAGCTCTTGTTGATTTGTGTAAGATGCACAATGTATATCACTCAATTATTTATACAGACAAAATATTCTTATAGGAATATGATATGCATAAATTAGGCTTTTATTTAGTGTCTGTGTGAAGCTTTACACTTGCTTGTATTTGTTGCATTCTTACTGTTTTTCTGGTCTCTAAACTAATTATGTTACCATATTTAGACTGGACCAAACAGTTTATATGCATAGTCTTCTTTATATGCATAGGCTAGTATTCTTAGAACTCGCAAGGTTGTTGCTTTGACCAAATTTAACAATTCAACTCACCCTTTTCCATGTAATATGTAGACAATGTACATGTAGCTTGAGAAAAGTTTGCATCTGATCTGAAACTCTCACAAGATCATGTTTGTAAAATATGAGCTTCAGAAAAAACGTCTGGCTGCTAGTTTTAAATACATTTGTACATGACATTGTTGTACAAACAACATTTAGTACTACATGTACTTTTACTGACCCAATGTAGATAGTACTATCTGGATGATACTAGTATGTACCTTTTTCCTTTACCCAACAAGGTAGGGAAGTATTGTTTGCTTCTGCTAGGTTAAAAAGTCTTTTCATACCTGATACTTGGGTACATTGTAGCTCTAGATGTTTATAAAAATGCATTAGTCTTCATACTAACATGAACAACAATCATGCATCGATCCTAGCTGACTAGCTAGTTCATGACTTTGTGATAGGACCTTAACATCAGTATGGTTAAACATTGTACTATGTAGATACATCAGTGTGCCTTACTCTATGCCATAACAGATTTACATACATGTTGCTCATCAGAATCTGTTACGACACACTTCTATGAAGTGTTGTATCCAGATTTTTGTGATCTATGCAGAAATAATAAACCATCAGTTCATTCACAGCAAGGCTTTTATTGGTGCATGTATCATATGGATGTGGTCAACTTACTATAAGTATGCCAAATGTCAACAAACACTTTTATGGAACGTATGACATAAGCTAATAGTAATAGATATAACTCAATTTTTGTTTTCTTAGACAGATTGCATTAGTTTTGGCTGTACTTATATTACGTATCCTAAGACACGTGTATTACCACTTTAAGTGACATGAACTAGAAGGATAGGGTTGTTAAAGTAGAGACCAAACTGAGTAATACTAGTAGCTTCCACAAGGAAAAAAATGGTCTTAAAGGCTTATATTTCCACACAAATTACATGTACCATTGGATTACCATTGTGAAAGTATTACATATTAGTGCAATAAGTTGTGAAAGGGAGAATATGACAGGCTTATTTCTACAGTATTTACAGTCATACTAGAAATAACTCCAGGACAGGAGCTCGAGAGATGTTGACTAGACCAGCTGTTTGAACCGTCTCCTCATGGCCTGTACAAACGCTGACAGGTTGTTGGTGGTGTTCAACTTGGCCACTAGGTCATCAAGGTCATCGACCTTGGGGTCACAGTCGACCACTGTGGAACAGAAGGTTTGATAAGGTAAGTTAACTTTGAAAATTGTAAATATTTTAAAAATGAATTATACTGTATCACAATTGTAGCTAAATGCATGCAGGAACTAGTGGAATATCTTTGCTATCTGTGCTATCTTTGCTTACTAACCTTCATACTTGCTCTCCACCTTCAGTGTGAAGACAAAGGCTCTGTCCAGGTTCTTTACATCGATGAGCGTGAACACAAACTGTAGTCTTCCCCCTGTGATTAATAATTAACAGGATTGCTTTCAGTAAGCAATCTATCCAACAAAGAATGGACATGAACAAGCTTGCTTGTACTGTACATTGTGGAATTTACTAGGAGCAAAATTTAATAAAAGTGCTTCTAAATGTCAACTTGAGTTTATGCTAACTATGACACTGAAATCTCACCATCCAACTTTCTGAACTTGAGTCCCAGTCTGTCCTTAAAGTAACCCACAGCTTTCTGCAGTTCTTCCATTTTCTGCTTGGTGACTTGGTCTTGAGCTTGTAACACTGCAGTTGGGCAACACAAAATCATTGGACTACCTATGGATCATTATTGTTTGCTATGCCTAAGTACAATCTTTAAAATATTACAAAGCTGCACACTGCACAGGGCATAAAGTTGCATGTAATGTTCACAGTATCTGTATATTTTTGGACGACTTACTAGTATTGTTTTTGGCCTGATTGTTTGCTCACTGTATTTAAATAATCAGATGGGAATCATCTCATTGGTTATTCTTTGAAAAATTCTGACCAATAACATAAGCCTAGCAAGACAGATACTGGATACAGATACTGGATACAGAAACTGTAGAAAAAACGTACACTCCTTCTCCTTAGCAATCTGCTGAACAGAAGTGCCAATCATCCCCTGTAGCTCCGCCTCCTGTCTGCTCATCTCCTCAGTCTGCATCTTGATTTTCTCGATGTCCTGTCGGGCAGTCTGCATCTGGTCTATCCTCTGTTGGAGGGCTGCAGGTCAACACAACATTCAATCACGGTCAGTTAGACCAAAATTTGGTTATTCATGAGAAGCTCAAATTGGCCTATATAACGTTAGATGTTTATCTCTGCAACCAACTATTAGCTTGGAAAAGAACAAAGAACTTAGATATACCAAAAGTAATGTACAAAAAACTCACCTTCTTTGTTGTTCTCTGCCTGCATCTTAAACGAGTTCACACTTTCCTCCAACTTGGAGATGTCGGCTGGAGTAAGGAAAGAGGTAACAATTCACACTGTGGCAACTGATTGATTGAGACATTTGATAAGGCTTAGCAAGGACATTTGAAAAAATAAGGTCAGTAAGTAAGTAAGTTTTCTTCTTTTTGTCTCAGGCTAAGGACTCGACCACCTGTTTGATTGTTGACAAATAACAGGTGGACAAATAATTCACCCAATTCAAGAAAAATTGCTTCTGGAAATACGTTAATGATGTTTCAGAATTATCATCGTTTGAAATGTTAGATCGAAAGTACTAGTACACAATGTATTACATGTATAGCCTTACCAGCGGTCGTTCAAAAGTAAAGGCTAGGGTCAGCCATTTTTTGCAAGGGTCGGTCGGGAAATTTGAAAAACAGAACTTTGTTCCTAGGCTTCAGGTAAATATCATGAATGCCAACACAGTAAGTTAGATACTGACCCCTGGCCTGTGCCATGCACTCCGCATGTTTCTGCTTCTCTTCATCCAGGTGTTTTGTCAGCCCGTCTCCCATCCACTTGTTCAGCAGTGTGTCCTGTACATGTTTCAGGTTCCCGTCCAGGTTCTGTAGTTCTGTTCCCAACATCATGGCGCAACTTCTGCAGCAAAGAAAACAGATTCAGTAAAATATTATTTTCATAAAACATACATAATTATTATGAATATGCTTATTATAATATTACAAATTATAATATGAAAACAACTTCTTGCACAGCAGTCTTCTTTCCCTTTTCCCCTAAAACGACATTTCAAAATCAGATTAGCTACATAGTTATATAATTGTTTCATGTTTGACAAATGGAAAATACAAAGAGGTACTAGTGTATGCTGCCCCCCTCCCCACAACTTCAAGCGGCCCTAGATATATTTTCACTGTTCGTGATTTTTAGCAAAATACTGAGAAACCTACTATTCCTCTGTGTCTATATAACTACCTTACCTACCTTGCACGGCAAAAATTATGAATCTTAACAGAGTTTTCACCACAAAAAGAAGGTTTTTATCTTCAGAAGTCGTTGTTTTCGGTTTTCAAAACGGCGCCAGTAACCAAAAGGTCAAAGTTGACCAATGAAAGGGAAGGAAGTGCAAAAGTGTATCTTCTTTTTTTATCAGAATCATTTAAAGTTAAAAATTTATTTAATCACCGCATCTAATAATTTCAATCATATATTTTACATAATCCAAAGATAAAATTTTGAGCGATATTTTTGTAAAAGTTATATTTTCCCGACATGCTCTGGGGTTGGCTGTGATTACGTCATGTTCGTGCGCCATTATTATTTTGGGAGGTCCGAGTCAGACTTTGACACGTCTTGCTTCAGTTTCTGCTCCAATTTCTCGCCTTTTCTGCAAGGACAAGTCTCAGACGATGGACGACGACGTCTTGACAACGCTGAAGATTTTGATAATCGGTGAAAGTGGCGTAGGAAAATCCAGGTTGGTGTTTTTTAACTGTCGGAATGTCATCGTTTTCAGACTTTTTGTTGTCAACAAAATTTTAGTGGGCTGATCTGATGTCCGGTTTGAGAAACGTCATAGTTTTGGCGTTCACAACGGAGTTATGTTTTCATCGTAATTATAACAGATATGATTTATGGTACATGTCTATAACATGTTTGGACTAGCCAAGTACCTCCAAATAAACAAAGAACCACCTTTCTTTCTTGATGAAGTTAAATGTTTATCAAAACCTTATGTAATTTTGTGCTGTAAAACCTAACTTTTTTTTATGGCTCATGATTTGGGGAGGGAGACAAAATGCAGTCAGTTCCCTTGAAAATTAAATGTAAAGCCTCTGGAATATGGAGAGCTTGAGGCATAAGCACCGCTGTATGCATATAGCATCTGCTGTGTCTCATAGTACTATCTAATCTTATAAAATTATTCTGATTTTATTTTTTCAGTTTGTTGCTGAGGTTTACAGATGACACATTCGATCCAGAGATAGCAGCAACAATAGGTGAGACATAGTTTGATTATGCATGGCATATAACAAAAATGATTCTGTATTCAATTTATGATGCATATTAATATTCAATTCATGATGCATAATTTGTGCAAATTGTGTCACTAGTAATAGTACCCCTTTGACATACAAATTTGTATCTTGATGAGGCATTATGTTGAGGGGTAGCATATGGCACTGAGTAATGTCATATTTTCTCATTTGTTTCAGGTGTTGACTTCAAAGTGAAAACTCTTACAGTAGATGGAAATAAGGCAAAATTAGCAATCTGGGTGAGTATCATTTTTAAGATCTTAAGATTTTAATTTTTATCAGCTATAACAATATTATGATTGCCAGATGGCTGTTGTCTGCAATGTAATTTAAGGGGTTGGGCTGAAGCTGTTGTGTTGCGCCGAAGGGCGGTTATACCGGCTATACCGATACAGATACAGACCTCTGTTTATATTGGACCATCTTGTAGAAGTCCTGGCTTATAAAAGTTAGGTCAAAATCATAATATGTTTTTCATTGCTAATTTTTATTCCATTGCAATGCAAAAAATGTACTATTGTTACTAAGTTACATGTATACAGAAAGAATTTGTCAGAGTTGAGCATGTTTGTGATGTTCTCATGTTTCTATTTTTGTTTGCGCACAGGACACGGCTGGCCAAGAAAGGTTCCGCACACTCACACCAAGCTACTACAGAGGGGCCCAGGGGGTTATTCTAGGTCAGCACTCATCACTACTTACCCACTTACTAGTGTTCTCAATCTGTATATCTAGTGCAACATGAATGTAACAAGCATATATACTTTTCTGTGGACATTAACTTTTCTTCAGCACTGGTACCTTATCTGTACCATCATACAAGGTGTGTTTTTTAAACTTAACTTCTTCAGCACTGGTTAAGCATTTTGTCTGTTTGAAAACTGGATGGTTCAAAAATGGTCGTAGTTGAGTTCTTTAGTGTTAAACTTACACTTAGAAGTTTTGCTAATAAAGTACATAACATAGGTCTATCTTCATAGTATTTAACTCAAGTAGACACAATGACATATATAGTACTGGGAAACTTGTGTACTAATGTTATAATTTGTTGTGTTTGTCTCCAGTTTACGATGTCAGCAGTAGAAACTCCTTCAACAGACTGGAACAGTGGCTGAGCGAACTGGAAACATTCTCCACTAAACAAGACATTGTCAAGATGTTAGTGGGAAACAAAATAGACAAGGCAAGTACCCATTTTTAAAAGTTAAAAAAAATGTGATTTTGTGTTTGCAACAGGACAAGTGAATCTAGTGTCTTAGTAATATTTACATGTATATACAAGATGTGTTGGGGTGGCTCAATGCAGCAGGGTCCTCGCCAGTCCAGTTATGAACTGGAAGAGAGATCCAGCCTCCGCCACACTAGGCTCAAGTTTGTTCCATTCCCTGCTGATCAGGCAGGGGAAGAACGAGAGCCTGTAAAAGTTTGAGTGTGACTGATGTGGCAGGAACATCGAGCCACCGGGACAATCCTGGTTGATTGTGTATCTTTATAGTAAAGGATGTCAATTTCTCAATACTTGACCACGATTTTTTTCCCGTCTATTCAGGACAAGAAGGAAGTGGACAGGAATGAAGGGCTGAAGTTTGCCAGGAAACACCAGATGCTGTTTATCGAGGCCAGTGCCAAGACGAGAGAAGGCGTCCAGTGCGCCTTCGAGGAACTGGTGGAGAAAATCATCCAGACTCCAGGACTCTGGGAGAGCGATTCTCAACCCAAAGGCGTATCGTTGACGGATACAGGGTCAGCTGCTGTTAACAGTTGTGCAGGATACTGTTCACTTGTGTAGACTTGTACAGAGGATGGTACTGGGGGTAGACATTCACCATCTTCCCATTCCCAGGATGCATAGCACCAGGGGGTAAAAATTCCCAGGGTGCATAGCGCCAGGGGTTGGAATACGACACACGGTTGACGTTAAACAACTTGTTTTTCTGTGTGTTTTGGAGCCTTTTTGTTCCAAAATTAAGTGACAGATCGAATCTGACAACAAGTAGTACATCATTCCGACCATCTGGTGCTATGAATCCTGGGAATTTTTACCCCCCCTGGTGCTATGAATCCTGGGAAATGGGAAAATGGTGAATAGAGGGAAAGGGGTGGCTTCTCAAAAGAGCTCCACAGCTCTGTGTTAGACAGATAGTCAATGTTACAACAGATGTATGTTTACAAGTGTTTTTGCTTAGGTGCATTAATGTGTTTAAACACTTTAAGCACTGCCCAAAAGAATACAGTAAAATCATGACTGTTCAAGGAATTTGTTACATTTATTAAGAGTATAATATTTAATGTGATAGAGTTATGATTTTACTTCAGTGCAAAAGTTTGAAACAGAAACTCTGTTTTAAAAATTCATTCTAGAAAGGTTTATATTTAATTTTGCCCACCATGTACCAGCAATGTCCAATTACATGTGTACTAACATTTCGAATTGGGGGTAGAATATGTTATCATTTATTTGAATATACATATGTATATTTTAATGTATTGCATGTATATTAATGTATGTTCATCTCTATCTACTGCAGATCTAATACACCTTGGAAAAATTATGCTTTACCTTTAGAAAATTATGCTTTACCTAGGCAAAATGCGATACAGTACCTATTGCCATGTTAGGTACCCATTCTAACATTTCTTCTCCAAAAATTATGGGACTAGGGGATACTTCCAGTAGTACAAGGATTTTGTGCTCTTTAACACAACCTTGGCTGTTATATGCTTAGATTAAGCAGAGAAAAGTACATTGTGTTAAGAGGCCAAACTGTTTGGAAGAGACCCATTCTAACAATTCTTCTCCAAAAATTATGAAACTGGGGGATACTACATGTAGTACTTCCAGTAGTACAAGGATTTTGTGCTCTTTAACACAACCTTGGCTGTTATATGCTTAGATTAAGCAGAGAAAATAACACGTGTTAAGAGGCCAAACTGTTTGGAAGGGACCAAGGATTAAATGGAAGACATCAGTATACAGTACACACAGGTGTAGAAAGAGATGAGATGAAATTGTATGTAAAATGTATCTATACAAGTTACAAAGTATTCCTAGGTGAAATAGCATTTGAAACATTATGTCTTTGTGAAAACTACATGTATGAACAAACACAGGAAAAGAATATACAAAATGATCTTCTGACATTGGGTAGTGTGTTTGTAATATGTTTGTTGTTGCAATATTCCCTAACCTGGTAAGTTAAATACATGTAATCCAAAAGGTTGAATCTGAAAGTTTTTTTAGTGTTGTGGTGTCTGCAAGCCCTCCTTTGGTGCATAACAACTTTACTTTTTCTTTGTATTCATTTTAGATTATTGTCCATTCCTTGACATTTAATTTAATTTAAGTTAATTTGAATCATTACCTTCGCCAAGAAGGTTATGTTTTCAGTAGCGTTTGTCTGTGTGTGTGTGGGTTTGTGTGTGTGTGTGTGTGTGGTTTAGCAAGATAACTCGAGAAGCAGTGGATGGATTGGAATGAAACTTGGTAGGTGGGTAGGACTTCATGAGTCCTAGAAATGATTAGATTTTGGGCCCCCTAGCGGCTTTCCTAGGTACTGCAGCTGAACTTCCGGTTTTGATATCTCATGTTCTGGACATGCTAGGGTCACGAATTTTGGTTGGTAGATAGCTCTTGGGGTAGGAAAGAAGTGACATGAGTTTGGGTCCCCTAGCGCCTTGTTCTGGAACTGCAGGAGCATTTGTTGAAAAAAATTTGAAGGACGATAACTCAAGAACCGGTTGACGTATTGTCGTGAGTTTTGGTATGTAGGTAGTTGAAGTGATGCTTGACATAATCAGATGGCAATTATGCAAATCAGGAGCTAATTTGCATAATTAATGAGGAAATTCTATAAATCTGATTTGTTCGATAATAGAACTATGAAACAGTTGTGACATCTAATTGAGAACGAGAAAAACATCTGAGGATATAGATTATGTAAATGAGGACCTAATTTGCATAATTAATGGCAAATTCTTATGGAATATAGTTGTAACTGCTGCACCCCGAATTTCATACTTGCCACATTTGGAAGTTAAGTGAAGGTGAACATTAATAAACATAATTTATTCAAATCATGACCTCATTTGCATAATTTATGAGGAAGTGCTATAATAGCCTTTTTGTTATGATAAGGCTGTCATTGGGTGGAGAATATGATCAACTGATATATCCATGCAAATGAGGCTCTTATTTACAAAATCAATGATTAAAATTGTAGAATTCGTCACCCGCAAGGGTTAACATCTTTTGGCGAAGGTATGAGATCGTGGAACTCTTGTTTCCTACTCCTTTTATCAAGAATTGATTTGATCTTGTGTTATTTACTTTCTTTCTTTTTTGTATCTATAACTCATTAGATTTATGCTGGGTCTGCATACACTGAAAAGCACCTTAGGTGATATGTTTCGATTTCTTGTAAAATAAATGAATTGAAACTACCACTGTACTGCAAATTTTTTCCCATGTCCATTTGTAATATCCCTCAACAGTCTTTTATAATACAGATAGGAGAATTAACACAGGTTTACGGCATAGGTGGTGACACTAAGTTTTTTTGGTGTATGAAGCAGATTATACTGTCAAGCCAAACGAAAACAAAGATGGGTGTCACAAACACAAGGACAAATGGATAATTAAAAAAAAAAAAAGGCTCTGTATTCAGCCGCTTGTACAAGCCGTTCTAGTAACGTTTGTCTTAAAATTAATAAACCACTTACAAATTTTATGTTCAGAAACGTAGTCACATAAGATAGGAACTTTTCCTGTATAAAATGTAAAACAGGGATAAACATTTCAAATCCATGAAGAAAGATGTGCTTTATTTTGCTACGAAAGAAAGATGCCAATCTTGAGAAAGAATGTGACATTTTTGAAACAGTATGAACTATCAGAATTCTGTACCTTGTATATTATCAATAATGACAAAAATTCCCTATATTTAACCCTAAGTTACACTGTTTGTAATATTTTCCCACCTTAACTTTCCCTGGGTACTATTTGAATACACATGTATGGTGAACATTTTGTACAGACCTTTTTGTTCATGGAACAAACCAGTTAATACCATAAGCACATTATGTCAAAGCTTCAAAACTTAAGTTCTCGCTGAATACAAAAAAATGATATCTGCAAATCTTAATTAATTTATACGTTATACTCACTCACAAACGCATTATAGTTGAACCACCGACAAAATGAAAAGCAACTGAAGATATACCAAATGATTACTCATTTTGCACCCAAACTTGTTTCTTATATTCAGGACACAACCTTACATTTTACTTTTGAAGTACTCTGTAGGAATTTAAAATATAATATTGCACCTTAATAAACTCTTTACAGTTCTATTGAAGACAATAATTAAACCACCAAAGTACAAAATAATATATGTCTATTTTGGTCCATATCCCATACACACCATTATACATTCTTACTCCTCATCTCTAGTCAAAACAAATGCATACCACACAAATTATAACATAAAAATTTGCTCCCACCATATTGCATAGGTTTCTTACAGCTGTCACTGCTGTCAGCAATGAAAAATATACACCACATCTTGGACTTGGAATAGTAAAATATCGTTTTCAAGTTAATTTCCATAGTTGAACCACATTCACCAACATTGTATTTTTTTCCCTTGAACAACATGTTGGCATCGATGAAGACACTACTTTCACGATCATGGCATGGCAGCCGGCACTGAAGGTATCACAATTATGCATGTCAGCCACATGAACGAACTTTGCTACATACAGTATTGTGTTAGAAAAAAAATCTGCATCTATTCCACATAAAAGTCGTATGCCTTCAGCCTCTGAGTCACCCTGTTGTAAAAGTCCATTGTCCAGGGACAAGTGGGATTTTTCGGATAAGGCTCATCAAAGTAATTGGCCACGACCGACGGGGTTTTTCCCGTGTACCACTTGTAGAAAGCGTCACGGAGACTTGTCCCGGACACGAGATAGTCCGTCCACGTGTACGCGAACGACGTCAGCGAGTGGATGTAGCATGACGGCAGGAAGATCCCGTCTTTTTGCGACTTCCTGATCTGGTACGTGATGGAGAGAATTCTCTCGTGCCACGCCTGAAGTTTTTCGCGTTTTTCCGGACACTGTTCTGGATAGCAGCGGAGGTTGTAGATGAACCACAGCGACCAGTAGTCGTAGCCTGAGTTGGTGATGAACATGGGTGTCTGCACGTACTTGTACGCGTACTGCGCCATGTAGCACTGCCACTGGGTCTCCTCCGTCTTGTCTTTTATACAGTCTGCGTCTACTCCACCTGTAAGTTACAGTTTACATACATTTGTAAGTGTCAGAACTGTTGGAAAGATCGCAATCAGCTGCACATAGGACTGATCAATTTGTTTGCACAGAATATTGTGCTGTTGTGAACTTGTGATACTCGAGAATCACCAGTTCTGCTCCATAATCTGTCGTAGTAGAATACACTATGAAGCTTCTAAACAAACACACTAGTAAGCTGGGATTTAAACTAATAACCTAATCCTAATCTTGGATAAAAACTACTGCCATAGTGGTCACCACTGCATGCTATTAGCATCATTGATACTAGAATGACACAAAAAGAAGATGCAAGAACTGAAGGCCTGTTCACTTCTCAATCTCTGTTTATTTAGCCTCCTTATAAAACTGTTTTATCTTCTGAGTCTCTTTCATACTCTGCAATTGCCGAGAGGGCAAAAGAGACTTGGCAGCTAAAATAGGTTTGGTAACCAGGCTACTGTGTCCATCGATCACAAGCAACATGACCAACCTGCACCGTTCAAAACTATTTCTAAATTAGCTTCCAAGTCTCTTTCATCCTCTGCAATTTTGGAGAGGACGAAATAGACTCGGCAGCTAATCTAGGTTTGGTAACCGGGCTGTCTCCTTAGATCACAAAAACATGACCAACCTGCACAGTTCTGCATGTTGAAGGAGCGTTGGTACAGGATACGGATGTGATCGTGGCCCGTGATGTTTTTAATGTCGGGGAAGAAGCCGGCGTCTGGTAGTGCGTGGTACTTCACCCCCGCCGGCAGTCTGGTTTTGACATAGTCTGCATGCAGCATCACAGCTAACCCTCCAGCTGGGACAGAGAGAGGACACAGTCTTGGTTTAATACTGTTACAATGTTGTACAGTTTCTAGAAATGTTCAGGAAGCCTGTGAGATACAGGTGGCATTTTGATTCTATGAATTTTGATTCAGCCAAATTCCACCAAATTCTCCAAATCAAGGCCACTTACAATTGCTCCTTGAAACATGTGACAAAGCCTGTGTTTGGCTTATGTGTATGTGTTTGTGTGTGTGCGTGCGTATGTGTGTATATCTATGTGTGTGTGTGTTTATGTTTGTGTGTGCATGAGGGTGTGTGTGTGTGTGTGAGTAGTATGTTTGTGTGTGTGTGTGTGTGTGTGTGTGTGTTTCTGTGAGTGTAGCATTGTCCAGCCTACCTGAGACCCCACTAAGGATGACCCTCTGTGCCTTGTCCAGTCCATGTGACATGAGATGGTCCAGCAGTGCCTGTAGAATCCGTCTGCCCCGGAAGTACAGGGGTTTACCCTCGTGTACCGCTACATCTGTTCTGTTACCTGGAGAGGAAACAACATCACGCCATGGGTTATTCATACCATTACTTACCACAAGAATATTATACATAAACTTGTAACTCGCCAACTTTCTTTTCTCTGCACCTGCCACCACCGTGAACGTATAGTTCCATGAACAACTTCATTTTTTTCAGATCACTAAATTTTGGTACATGTACTGTGAAAATGAAGCGTATTATGGTAGCTAAGGACTCATATACTAGTAAGGAATATTAGGTGCACCTAGGACCCGGTTTACACGACGACAAAAACCTGGCGTACGATAATGGCGTACGCACGCGATCGTACGACAATTGCGTACGACCATTTTTTCCAGCGTGTAAACCGGCCCCACCTATCGTACGCACCTATCGTACGCAATTTGCGTACGCCACCTCGAAGGCAGACGTACGATCGTGTACGATCGCCCAGCGGGGAGTCAGGATGCCTCCCCGCCTCGTGTAAACGCGACTGATCGTACGAACGACGTTCGCAAGCACTTCCCTGTTGCAGGAGGTCAGGGGTCATATGCAAATTCCATTCTTCTTCCCGCGCCTGTGAAAACCCACGCCGTGTTACTGATCTTTACTCTGTTTTCTCTGATCCGTTTCGGTTTTCCTTTTGTTTTTTTATCGTATTTGATTTGTTTGTTTGTTGTTTTGCTGAGCCTGTTTGCTCGCGACTGCCGCAACTGACCATGGCAGAAGTGCGCAATAGCTCTAACTGTCACGTTCCCACACTGACCGATCGATCCCGCCTTGAGCTTGAATGATTGCAATGACTGCAAAAATTGCTGCCCGTTGGATCTCATGGTACCGCTCCCTGCGACGTCCAACCCTTCTTCTACGCAATGCCCGGCGACGCAAGTACATCCGCGAAAAGAAGAATAGCAACATCTGACGCATGAAGAACAGAAAAAGAGCCTGTTCTCCCGCCATTTTGAAAATAGCGCTATGTCAAAGCTCGCGGCGGGTCAAATGGGGTCACGATAGTGTGGAGCGCTGCGGGAGTCCCGCGCTGTCCGTCCCGCTCCGTGTAAACCGAAACGGACGTACGATCGCGTGCGTACGCCATTATCGTACGCCAGGTTTTTGTCGTCGTGTAAACCGGGTCTAGGTCTGGGTGCATATAAACTATCCAGACATTCTTACCTGCGAAAGAAGCCCCGTCACAGTACTTAAGCATAGCCACGTTCCAGTTGTAGAAGTTAGGGTTGACTGCAGGGGAGTTGGACAGGATTCCATCGAAGGGGAAGTTCCATCTGAAGTACTTGGATGAACCGTAGTCCGTCAGGCTTCGTCTGGAGCAGTCTGCCACGTCCCAACACCAACCTCCGCCTTCCAGATAGATAATCCAGTTCTTACTGCCTTTGTCTGTTCCTGCATACAGAGTTAATACATGATTTTATATAGCACACGAACGTATTACTGCAATGTCACTATTCAATATGCTACTGTCTGACCAATGAAAATTTACAACTTACCACAAAGTGCAATTTACCTGCTTAAAGCTTTAGGCCACACCGACATAATTTTATGGATGACATCCTCTGAAGACCCCCAAACTAGTGCATGTGGGCGAATAAAAAAAAATTCCGGCCAAAATAAAAATGCTCCTAAACCACAGGAATACAAAGCTGGTATTGTAAATTTGAGGCAATACATAGTGATGTATACAACAAGCTAGCACATGTTGGCTTTTTGCGGAATTCATGAGTTGGCACTGTACATATGTAGTACTGAGTTCTTGAGTCGTGGAGGTTTGGTAGCCCTGACTGTACTATCCTTCGGTTCGGTTTCTTACCTCTCCTTAAGTAGTATCCAGGAGGTGTCCCGTCCAGACACACGGCACCTTGAGACATCACATCTTCCTCTGGTAGAACCACCAGATCTCCATAACTCCACACATAATGTAGGACCCTGGGTCTGTACATAGTAGGTATAGGGTCAGATCAGTAACCACTACATCACTGTAGAACAATGTTAGCAATTAATCAGTCAAGTAGATGGGCAGCAACATAACCTGTTACATATATTGCGTACCAACTCCCCTGGCATGTTACAAATGTAACGTGTTATATCTGTCTACATTGTATTTGGCCAATTTTTATATAATTTGAAACTGGTGAAGAAAATCAACTTGCAATTTTGCAATTTGAAATACAATTCCGACAGCTAGTAATCACATATTAATATCACATAATATGATACTAGTAAGTATTTCAAGTCCTGTTATTTACATTCTCAAAGTGCACTGTAGCATTCTACTGCGTTAACGTATAGGTCAGTTCAAGATGTTCAAATTCGCCACTAACACCATTGACACTTGCCTTGGCCCATGTTGTAAGGCTGCCCACACCAGGAATATCGCTGTCACTAGAAACACCAGTTTGTAGCGCAGGTCATAGCGGAACTGCACCAGGAACCGCCTCCAGGTCGCACCGTTGGCTGGCCGGACAGCGGGCGGGGCCTCGGTCACCATCGTCCCGAGCGCGTCTCTGATCTCGTCCGGGGTCGGAGTACTGTGCGTGTACCGAGTTCGTGGCGAGCTCATATCATTCTCGATTAGCTAGGACCTTCGCCAAACTCCTGTACAACTTTCAAAATATCCCAGTGACGTTTAATAACTTCTTAAAAGTGTTTACGTGGCCAGACAAGACAAAACAACAAAATTCGTCACGCCTCCTCCGCCATTTTGAAGTTCGCTACTCTCGCGAGAATCTTCGTTACTTCCGGGTACGGAAGTATTGTTTAGGGTGACTTAGTTTTGGGTTTGTGTGTGTGGGTTTGTCCAAGTAGCGTAATCTCATTGCATCAAATTGGCCAATCAATGTCCTTTTTAGGCCGATTTCTACGATTTATTCAGCCCGCAAAAGAAGTCTGGTGGAGACTAGTTGCTTCGCTGAAGCTCCTTGGCTGAAAAAACGGTGTGCATTATAGGAGGCATTTGACAAGAACGTACGTACGTACCTACACATAGCCCGGGTCAAGATTCTTACACGCATTTTTGTCAGAACAAGAACTGTTCAAAGAACTTTTTTCATGATAGGAAAATCGGCCCTGAATAAACCGATTGTACTGCCTGAAGTTTGGCATGTAACCGCAGAGGGGCGTTTCGGCAACATTCTTGGTGATCAGCAATGAGAAAGTTTCTTTTGTCATAACACGTTACTTTCAAACGCTATTGAACAATACCAACTGTTCAATGGCTCACTTTCCTTACCCTAGGGCTCAGAGGAGATAACGTAACTGATGTTAGAAAAGTGGATATCTCAATCGATATGTAGGTCAGCAACTGCCACTGATAGCGAACGTATCTGACACCATAATAATGCGAAATGTCATGACTTGCCAGTGGGGGGCGCGCTCATTGTTTGGAATGTCGTCCTAGATCTACCATCAGAGGAATCATTCATTCGTAAATTCACGGAGTTTCTGGCATACAAATTTCAGGCTGGCTAATACTTCAAATAATTATAATGTTATTTCAAGAGATTTTGGAGCCAAAGTAGTATTAGCATTACTTATTATCATTTTTACTGTTTATTTTGTTATCATGTTCTAGCCCTCGGCCATGATTTTGGTTCACTATTAAATGTTAAGTCAACTGTGAAACATTTTTCTACTGTTATGTCATCTCTTGTTCTGTCACAGGTTATTTGGACCGTTCAGTGGACCTTACGTTAATTGATAGAACGGAAAAGCAACTGTGTATGGAAAATACCCACGCCAATAAGTGAATATTTACAGCAGTTATTGTGTGCCGTGCCACAATTAATCCTCTTTGAAACGACTTCCTAATCCTCACATAATCATGTTATCACTCAGTATTTTCTATTCAATTAACATGATTTAATTTTCTATTCAATTAATATGATTCAATTTCTACCAAACGAATATGGAAAGCTGGAGAAACATCGGGAAATGCCAATTTTTAATGGCTAAAGCAACGTAGTCGACAGTTCGACAGATCCTTTATATTGTTAGATGTTGAAGATGCGGTAATACATAGCGAGGAGAAGTTGAATTTATTATATAGTTAGTTTTATGTTGTATCTGTACATCATATTTTGTTGTGACCTGTACTTAGCCCAGTGTGGCAAAAATGTACAATAAAGGTCGTCATTCAGTTCAATAACATGCTAGATATTATAGCTTGTCTTCATAGATATTTATGTTTACCGAAGAAAAACAAAACATATTGTTTTTGCTACGTTACCTCTTCTTCTCCAAACCAAAAAGGTCAATGACCTGAACCAGACGTCTGTCACCATGGTAACTGGTGTTGGGTTACATCATATTGCAATATTTTGTAGCAGGAGGGATTTATATTTTAGACTCCTGTCTGTCCATATATATGAGTGTGTTTGACTAAGAGTAGACCATATGTGAAGGTAAACATTATGCATTTGCTTTGCAAATGTTACCTTTCTTGTGTATGTTATGTTTACTCTAGACAGAGTTCGAATTCAAGGCTGTCAGAAACTAAAATTGGACGAGAGCTAAACTATCTGACGATACGTCAGCCCCTTTTTATAAAGAAAGACCCCCAGCTCACGGGTGCCCGGCTATATTTTTCCTTTCACACTGTTATGAAAAACAACACTGCTTCACGTGAGAACTTGAGACGTTATCGCTCAACAATTAAAGAATCGATCACAGACGACAATAAACAAAAGGTGTTTGCATGTCAACATGGTTGAAAATTAGTACGGCCGTCTTACGCTTGGGTGGTTCGGTAAAACCTCGGAACAGAGCGAAAATATGTTCCGCTAACTTACACTACAAAACGCGCAGAAAAGTCAGCCGTGGGTCATTTGATAACAAAGTACGCTTCTGTGAAGAAAACAAAAGGACAAAATACTTAATCCTAGTGTTGTAGTGCTGACTACTAAGTACTATACTTCACCAAACAGCGGAAAATAATGTTAACGTTGCGGAAATTTGGCAATGTACGTGAATAGGTCACTGATATTATCAAGGATTCGACATACCGAAATCACATATTTCTGCGGTGTACGTATGTTTCTCACGTGTACGGTGTATAAGTCCCCTACAATAGCCCGTGCTTATGTTCTAAGTGTCCCGAACAGAATTGTGCCGTAAACAGCTAGATCGTGTTTCACAATATTTGCGGACGTGCCCCGCCTTGCGTGCGCCCTTCTCACCGCCTGGGCTGCGATAGAATGACCTATAAGAATCATTCAGAGCAACATACCGTTCAAAAATCCCCCTCTCCTGTAATTTATGGTTCAGCCCTTACAGTACAGCCCTAAAAACTTTATGGAACGTCCCTAACTTAATTTTAAATGGGTCGATAAATGTTCAGTAGTGGTAGCTATAACGTTGTCTACCAACATGACAAAATATAACGTCGGTTGTTAACACATTGGACAAAACACAGACGACTACACAATACACGAAGGGGACGACAGAGCGTGTTTGACCGCTCTCTGGTCATGTCAAGAACACGTTTTTGACAGGTACATTGTACCGAGTGGGTTCTGGAAATCGTGGCGAGTGCTTTTGAGGTGTGAGCATTGTCCTTGTGCACGCCAGGGAAAGATACGAGAGGGCACATCCACGTGAGAGACTGTACCGTGACTTGGCAACAAAATCCTCTCAAACGAAATAAAAATCATCCCCAAAGATTACACGTTGCAGCTAATTAAGCCCCTAGGATGATACACTTAATACCAAGGCATCCTGTATCTCTATGATGAAATTCTGAGGGATGAGCGGACAAAGATGATGAGAGTTTTTGTTTGTAGAGTGGCTCTTGTCGATCAAGCGGAGATGGGCAGCGATTCAGTCCACCAATAGTGTGTTCGCCTTGCCACTCAAGTACAGGACTTGACACCCCTTAACAAATGTTGGACGTTCTTTCCTTCTGGCCACGGTGGCAGTGAGACATTCAGTACCTGACGACGCACCTTGTGTAGGTGTGGATGCAACTCAACGTGGGGTTAATTTTTTTAACCCTGAATCAACCAGCCTTCTTCTACTGCCTTCATGGCGATGACCTACTTTGGAGTTATCTTATCGTCTGTGAAACATTGTCGGTTATCATTATCCGACCAATTTCCGACGCGGTGACTGAGTGGTTTGAGCTAGGGGGCTACCTGAGAGCTTGGACCAAGTCGTCACCAAGAAACTATCTCTCCACGCATCGACAGCCTTGCGCTGAGGAGGTAAAACCCTCGGGGCGTTTTCTTTTCTTTTTTCTTCTTTTTCAAAACATCGTCCCGTGTGATCAACAGAGCAGAGGTGTTGCAGGGGCGAGGTCCCGGCCTGCTGTGTAAATAGGGGAATAGAAAGTGCGGCCAGCTGTCGAGGTTGTGTACACTGGCGTGTGAGTCATCTTCGAGGAAGAAAAGCCATTCCGAGAACACTTCATCTTCACTAGGCTAGAACACTGACGCAAGGCTAGCTGCCTAAACCTGGGGTAAGAAACTATCAGAGCGAAAACTACTGTTTTTGGAAGCGTGTACGTGTGAGTGACTCAGTTCCGGGTACGAGGAATATGTGGTGAACTCTGGGATACAAAGCTAAGTGTACGAGCTACCCAGGTGTTGGACAGTATTCATCTCTGTGGGTGAGGATAGACACTCCACCGAAGGTTCGGTAATTCTCGTACGGGCCCGACGAGACGACCATCTGCCGCCCGGCGTGTGGCGGAACTTAACGAGCCGGCCACCGTATTACGCACTGCAGACCATCGGGGCAGCAGGGAAAGGTTGCCCGCTACCTGGACATACACGCTACCGTGCTGGAATTTTCTGTCTCAGAGCGAGCGACGCTGAATTCAGGGACACCATCCCGCTTTTGTCACAAGCTTAGCCGTTTTGTCTGAGACAAAATCCCTCCCTCTTGGACGCATTGTGAGATCCAGGCAAGGTCGCTGACTTCGCTCCGCAGGTGGTTGGCGGCAGTTCTGTCTCACCCCTACATTTAGAATGGACCAGTCCTTACCTGCATAGAGTGATTGGCCCGTGTAGAGTGACCCCGTCTGTACTACAGCGGTGTGCGGCGTTAAAAGAAGCCCAGTTTGGATACTGAGAACACGGCTGACAAGACGACGGGAGGTAACGTAAAGCGTGGGTGAATTATCTCTTGTTTTCCACACAGCTGAGCCGCGCTGAGGTGTGCGACTGTCCGGGACACTAACCCAGGAGCGTCAGACGACAGCTAGCACGACCGAACCCTGAGCTAGACGGATCTGTCACCGCCTACTCACCACACGTAACCCCTGAGGTTTCTAACGATCCGGTCAGAGAAAACCAAACGGCAACAAAGAGCAGCACAACAGGACCGTAGCTGAGAGAAGTTCAAGTTTTGGACAATTTTCAGGCTGTTCTCTTCAAGCAGACGTAGAGACTAGAAAACTATACAAGACGACACAGTACTGAGCTGTATTGAAACTAGCTGCAGACGACAATTGGTGGACATTTTCCCTCAGGACACAGTAAAGACAGATCGATCAGACGACAGAGCATGTCTGTGAGAAGCGACACGTCCAGGACGACTTCTGACGGGAGCAGTATCACCATGGACGACGTGTCCTCCTACTGCAGCTCCACGGAGAGTAAGTACAATGTTTTCTCTGTGTTCCGCGGGGGATGTTTACTGTAAACTTTGAGGGAACGCCGTGCGTGTATACGTTTACCAATCTTTCCTTTTGATGTGTTGTAAACTTCTGAGTGATGGTTGTTTTGCAATGGTTTGAAATTATGTGTTGAACGTAAATTTTAAACATCTCTGAGGATACAAGAGGTACTGTAGTACAATTTTTAAGCGCGTTTATATGCCTACCTTTCTATCTTTCCGCACCATCAAGCAAAGATGTGTCTGGTGTTCAGTTGTGTCTTTTCGGGCGATTGAAAATAACACGGAATCATTCGCGCCTTTCAAAACAGTTCTGGGAACTCTCGTTCTGTGACTTACGCAGTACGTGCATGCTTTCTTTCTTCAAAGTGGGTCAAATTTCCTGTAGGAAATTTAATTTCTCCATCAATATTGTGTGAAGATACCTGCAGGAAGAAAGTATGATCATAACAAGGTATTTGTTACGATGAAATGGGTGATGTGATACACTGTGATGCTACATTTCCACGTATTGTATGTTTGACACCTTTGAAAGCTATGGGCTCTTCACGGAAAGAATAGGGCAATTCGGTGGCTACCATGTTCGCTTGATGCATATTTTTGTGGATGTCGAAAGATTGCGTTTGCGATACTACATGTACATGCACGCGTGAGAGAATACATGGGTCCATTTTGACTACGACGAAATGCAGAGGATGTACTTGTTGTTTTGGCGTGAATGCGTCACACGGACGTCAGTGTAATAAAATCTCAGAAAAACAAGACACGAACACTCGTATCTTGGAATTCGGTACAGCATTAAGTTTCTCACAAGTACATTTGTCTGCAGTATGCGAGCGAAGACAGTTGACCATCGGGGAACACACATGTACTTGAGAAGCATGAGAAGCATCTAAGACAACATTCTCACGAGGATCTCTAGAATTTCTAAGACAGGATGGTTTTCTTTTTCTTTTCAAGACTACAGTCTGTGACAGATACAAAGTGTTGGGGTATTGTGTGTGTGGTGTTGTAACGTTATACCAGATTACGTCACTAACAAGTACGGTAGGGGATGTTGATACCGCGCCAGGTGAGATCTGTCTTCTACCTGAGCGGGGGGCGACAACAATGGGCATTGTCAACTCGCGACAGACCCTACACATGACCTCTGACACAGTGACGTGTCAAGTTTCGTGTCGCACTTTCCTCAAAAGTTCAATGTCCTCAAGATTCAAGTGCTTCCGTCTGATTCTAGCCACAACTTACGTCACCAGAGACAAGAAATATGGTTTTATATTACACTCTTGTCTGTCAGCTATATTGTAGCTCATTCACGTTGAAAACTGTGTACATCGTTGAACAAAAGCGTAAAAAAACATGGAAAATCATGGGAAAAAGAAACTTGATCTTGTCCTAAGGAAAAGTCCACCACGCGGGGGTCCGTGGGACGACGTATTGAATAAAATGACCTTGTGCGACCGCTATTATGACCTCTGACAACGCTCGGACATTTGTGGTCTGATTTTGACCCTTTGGTCGTCTAATAGATTTCACGGCATATAGGTTGTGAACCATGTTCAATTCTATTCAGACACCAGAATAAATCTAAATTTGTTTAACCATGGAGTTAGAACAAGGACGAAACAAGATAAGTTGTTGTAGTGGGGCATAGTCATTCCATATTTACTTGTGGTCTGATTTTGACCTTTTGGTCGTCTCATAGATTTCACACCCACGGTTGTGAAACCATTTTCTATTCTATTCAGACACCAGAAGAAATTTAAGCTTGTTTAACAGGAGCGAAACAAGATTTTAAGTTGTTGTAGTGGGGCATAGTCATTCCATACAATACTACAATGTCGTAAAACGGTAAAAACGTCACATAAACCAAATATTTACGCTATGTGAACAGCGGGTCGGTGTAAAAAGCCCGCCACAATGTGCCTCGGACCGTTTCTTTGCTTTTCAAATTCACGGCCGTGGAAAGGAACATCTGGTGGGGTGGACGTTATTCTTAGTGACGTCATTTTGTAACGGTTACTCTGATGACTAAACCGGTATCGAGCTTGGGTGAGTTGGTAAGAACGGGTTCTGAGAAAGGCTAGGAAACTTTTTCACTATTTTCTTCTAATGTGTCTAATCATCAATTTTCTTTGATGTGGTTAAAGTATCATTTAAAGGAAATTTAACCCCTTTCTCTTTCTTTCACCACAAAACCATTGAAGCGAATTCTAGCTATTAGTTTGTGATGTATTGTTACAACTTCAATTTGTTACAACTCCACATTAAACTACAAAACAACGGTGAATGAATTATTATAAAAACTCATTTATTCCCCCATTTAGAAATTTAACTGGTGGTAAATAATAAAAATACAAAAATACAGGGCTTGAATAAAAGGATACGAGAAAAACTATGCTTTTTTAAATAAAAATATTATGAGAGAGTTTCATCACTTAAATAAAAACTACGAGGTTATGAGAGAGTTTTAACACTTCAAACAATGCATTAATTGTAATATTATTGTAAATGGAATAGATCGTTAAGAATGAATCCATCCCTACGTCAACATTTCTCAAGGAGAACTCATAAACACACAGGAATGGCGCCAAAGCAACCCCGATTTTCGGACACTCCATTGTTGACATTTCAGACCTTTTCTCACAGACACAAGAACATAACAGCTCTTCCTACATAGATACTTTTATCTAAAGAGAGTGACATCTGGCAAAATATCGGGGAAGAGTTGTGAGCCAGTGTACCCCCTGGAAAGTTTGCGGCACGGCAGCTGAGTAAAAATCGACCCGTCCGCATTCCTGTCTTAAGGGCTTATTGCGACAGCTGGGGGATTGGGTAATGGTTTGAGTTCTGTCGCGCATGCACAGTTTGGGTGTTAACCTTGCTATGGTGTGTCTTTCTTGGCTGCCTGCAGCTTATATATTAGCCTCTACCAGGCTCCGGGAAGCGGCTGTAATTAAAGAGTAGAAACTGGCCAAAAAACAGATGATATGCTAGGGAAGTTTTCTCTTAAACTTTTCTCTTGGCGCGGACTCACTCCCATGGCATATCACCTGTCTGTTTGGCCGATTTCTACTCTTTCCAGCCGCTTCCCGAAACCTGGTAGAAGCTGCTTGTATATGACATGCATATGCATGCGCGTCGGTCGAGTCAGGATACAACTGCATATCATTGTTGATTCTTGAAAGTTACTTGAAACACACCATTCTTGTGATTTTAGCCGTATTTGATATAGCCATTGGAAAAACATACAGCAAAACGCCATTTGGGAAGTCTAGGAAAGTTTGGGATCCAATAGAGCTTTGTTTTCATCCGACCCGAGTAGCTGTGAGTCTGAACTCTGTCAATCCTCCAGACAACAGACGTTTTCAGAGCATTGATTCACCAGGACCTTGGTCGCCTTCAAGGCTAAATAGTTCTTTGTACAGGCAAATACCCACTTATTGTAGCCTTGTACCCATGGCAGTGAGAATGGCGCGGTGGCGAACTTGTAATTCGGTACATTGTGAGGTAGACTGTCGCTTTTGTTGGTCTACAGAATACTACTGCCAGCGATTTAGCATATTGAAGACACACTGCTGTATTTGGAGGCAAAAAGAGCGTTAGTATAATGCAGGCGTATGCACGTACAAGAAGCTGGCAAAGTGTCTTCTACATGTTTTATGTAAAAAAATTCAAAACATTTTTTTAAATAGTTCATATGTTTGATGTACGCAATTATATATAAAACCTTTTTTCCAAACGATTTAATTTTATGGTTGCCTACTTCAAGGCATTGTGACTGACTCCAGTACGGTCGCCAAAAAATGAGACCTTTGCTCATTTTTTTCTCCAAAACGAGAACGCCCAGTACAAATTGCCTGGCAAATCGTACAATGGATCCTACATTTTAGAGGTCAACATTTGGGTCAAAACAGTTGATTCTGACCGCCGTGGTTGACCTTGCATTGTGTCATATCCACCGACAATTTTGTAAGGAAAATTGCCCCTATTCAGCCCCTACTCAGTCATAAGTACCCACAAGACCTTCATACAGCTTTTTAAAAAGAAGGGTCATAGTGGTCAGTGGTGGCCAAAGCGGTTGAAATTGGACCCGGCGTACTTTGAACTTCTCTGTCCCGCCTCTATTCTTTCCGTGCAGGAATTCTGCTTGCCCCTTGCCCCCTTTTTTGGACCGGGATTGACCGGGGTAAATCGGAGCGTGGCCCTGGAAAGACCCTCGCGGTGCCGTGACGAAACCCGGGTCAGCCCTACCGTGTTGGTCGTCTGTAATTAACCGCCATTTCCCGCGCAATTACCCTCCCCACACCGCCTCTCACACAAAAGGACCGACACTTCAAAAATCCAGATCGAGTGCCCAGAAAAAAGAAAATGGGGGCCGTCTCACACCTCTGTGATGTCCGTATATCATCTGTAAACAACTTGCATCTGTCTCTTTTGAAGCCGGACTGACCAAAAGTGACCATATGCCCAGTCGTATATAGTTTTATTTTACCGCAAACAGCAATAAAATGGACGATAAAATTATCTTTCTGTCCGTTTGAAGCCGAACTGACCAAAAGTGACCATATGTGCAGTAGTAGACACTTTAAGTTTACTGTAAATAGAAATAAAATGGACGATAAAAAATTGACTTTCCACTGCTAAAGTTTAGCCTAAAGTGACAGTTCGATCGACCACGGCAAGAGCGTTTCTAACGTTTGAACCGCTGTTGAAGGATTTCGAAAATCTTTTGGGCAAACATTCGCTAATCCTCAGAAACGGCTGCACACAATAAACATGTTCTCACAAAGGGTCAATAGAGTGCACCTGTACACTTTCTTGCGCCAAAGAAAAATTTTAAAGATTATCAGTCCGGTAACTTCAAAAGTACGATCTATATTGTTTATGTCAACATTTAACAGGTGAAAAAAAATGTCAAAAATAGTTTTGCATACGTTTTTTGGGCGTGCCACATTTGTGAGAAAGTACATACTTCTC